ATTTGAAACAACCAAATTGAAATTTACATATCAAGATTCATTATTCAAGTCAGAAATCAATTGATTAAGGTATGTTCCGCGTTAATTTAGTTTCTTGATGGTTTGACATGAAGAACTTGGTAAGATCATAAAGTTTAAGTTTCAATAAAGTTACAACAATATATATTATCAGTTTTGAAATATCATGTATTCATCTTATACTTCAAGAATTCCTTTAGCATCCCTTGGGATTGAATTTAAGACCTCTCATGTAAAAGATTTAAGTTGAATTCTAATACTAATTGACAAATATAAGTTTCTTATAGGACAAACGTGTTGACTTCGAATCTTGAAGGAGGCAACAAAGATTCATGAGCGATAAGATGTGCACAAACTCTTTCAAAATGGACAATAAGTATGAGTTAACAGATTGGGCACAAATCTATGTCGTTACAATTAGTTAGTAGTTACTTCAAGTTGATTCGAATTTATGACTCATTTAAAGTCAAAATAATAACCTCAATAAACACATTAAATTAACGCATAACTCACATTCATTTAACAAAACTATATATAAACACATAACGATATTCATGTCTGTCTTCCCTTTTCTAACAAAAGATAACAATAAAAGAGGAAAAGAAGAAGAATGAAAGGTGCAATTCTTGAAGTACTTCTCGTTAGCGCTCAAGGCATTAACCATAACAATATCATCGGTAATATATTGTCATATGTCCGATCTTACCTTTTATCCAACGTGCATAATACTCGATCGCACTAATACTTTAGTTAATTTATGCTCACAGGGAACCCAACTTATCATGTTATTATTGAATGTGGCGATAAAGTGTGCAGGAGCAAGACTTCAGAAGGTTGAGTACTTGGAAAAATAATTATGAATTTTTATGAATTTTTTTTACTGATGGGGTTAACTCCTCTTCTGCAGGTAATGATGATAAGATTTACTGGAATGAAAAATTTGCATTTGAATTGGGTTCATCTGAACTGGAAAATCTGAGCCACCTTAAACTTAAAATCATGGACAAGGAATATTTCATCGATGGTGGATTTGTTGGTGAAACCATGTACTAAATTTTTTCCTTAAATACGGTCAAATGTAGTGCAGTAAATAAATAAATGGACTGTAACTTGTTCTGCTTTGATCAGAATCCACCTCAAAGGCATAATCGTGGAGGGAAATTGCAGAGGGTTGATAGAACTAAGTCCAGTCCCATTTAATGTGGTTCTTGAAGATGATACTTACGAAGGACAAATGAAGATTGGGCTCAAATTCATTCCAAATGTAAGGTCAAATTTGTTGTAGCTTCTGGTATTGTTAACATCTCCTCCCCTTTTCAAAAATAAATAAATTCTGTTGCAGATTGTTTTGCAGGAGGGAAGAGAACAAGTGCACGAGAAAAATGACATTGGCAAATCCATATGCAAGACAATTACGAGTCTTTGGCAAGGGGAATGGTGGAATTTTTTGTACTTTTATAGGAAAACAAATTCGTCGGACAAAGTACAAACCAACTGAAGGGAATATATGGCACAATGAT